AATAAAATGCTTACACAATACATTCAAACATGCAAGAAATAAAACTTGTCACCCATAATAGAGCCCTGATCAACCTTTACAAATGTTTCATTTTCCAACAATTGCTTTTTGATCAGAAGAATTTGGGTATAGGATGAAGTTGCAAAGGGAACTGTATTCAAGACTCCTGTTTTGGAAAAGCTCTTATCATAAGGAGATTAAAGTTATGTGTTAACCATTTTTAATGGACATTTAGAAAGGACTTGCTATAATCAAAAGATAGCCGTTATTTTGGTTGACACACTTTCCATTCAAAATAGGAATAAACAATTAGCTAGAACATATTTGTAATGTTTCAAGACTTTCCTTCTGGAAATCTTCCTCAGACAAGCATTTTGGCCAGGTCTTCTGGTACAAATGGCACAAAATTAGGATCAATAGGAGTTGGTGAAAGGCATGTATCTTGGAAGAGGCTCACTGAGTAACTGCTCTATGCAATGATGATACAAGTGGTAGGAAAAACACTCACTGCTTATGGCTAGCTCAAACAGCTCTAGTAGCAGTTCTTATAGACTGCAGATAACTCATATCTGCTTTTTGGCAGTCCTTGTGTGAACTTGAGGTAGCTGTAAAAACATGACGTGGCGGAATGAGACACATCCTATAAAATCACTAGCATTCACAAAATATTCAGCACATTACCTTGTCGAATGTTGCACAAAATGACATTAAAAAGTCCTTTGAACTTTCTTCTATACTTCATTTATATTCCTAATTATTAAGGCCAAGCTTTCTTGAACTAAATGTTGGAAAAGGTGAAAAAATGACAGTAAAAGCTCAAACTGATTCTCACTGTTATTCATATGAGCCTTAAAATGAGTGCAATCTATTTCAAAACTCACTGCTGGAGACTGAACTTACAGTTCACTATTTACATATAAATTACACTCTCGAGAAATTTCTTAAATGCAAAAGGTATATTGCATATTCATAAGCTCAGAAATCTTTACCTCCTGTCTCTCACATGTTGTCAAGTCCATGAAATCCACTAAGAATTTTAGTTTCAGAATGTCTTTTGACATGAAAATACTTGATGAAAATATTTGAATGCTGAATTTCTTTAATCCATGCACAGATACTCCCTGAATGCTGAAGTGTCTCAGGATATGTATTCACAGACTTTATATTTTGATAAAATGTTGCCTACCCTGCTGAAATAATAGAAAAAAATGTATTTTGATGAGAACTGCTATGTATGTACTAATCATAGCTGACAATGCAACGTGTCACAGATTCTCAATAAAGCAAACATTTTTCTTAAGGGGGGAAAAACGCAGGCTAATTATCTACCAAAGTTTATTTGTTGTCGTTAGGCGAAGTTGACAGAAGAAGCACTGAGATGCATTTTAGAACATATCACCGGTTATTTAGAGCAACTTTTAAGAGCAACTCCTGCATCCTGTTATTCTAAAAACAACAACAAACATCTGAAATATCAAATTAAGGAAGTTGAGAGATAGGATGCAGTTATTTATACATCATCTTGTCTTAAAAGGGTGCCAGTCTATAGTCATTGATAGGATACAATGAAAATAGCGCCTCTGCACTAGTTTAGCTAGAGATTTCTCGGGTAGTATCACGTTTTCCTGCTGTAGGAGAGACTCTTCTTGTGAAGCAGAGTCTCTTGGTGAGAATGAGATGGTGCCGAGTTCAACAAATTGAAAAATAATCATAATAATGAAGTCTCAGAGCCAACTCCATTTCTTGGCAAGGACAGTCACCACTGGGATTATATAATCATGCTTGCTTCTAGAAGTGTTAGAAAACTTGAGGGACTTTCTTTTTCCTTTCTGCCTTTCCAAAAATGAAGCCAAAAAAAAAAATTCTCTTGTCACATGAAAAACTGCCCTTTGCCAATTTGAATGACCTGTTCAAGTATTCATGTCCAGCACAAGTCCCATCTATTGCACGGAAGGATGAACAAAAGCTACTTAGAAACCAAACAATCTGAAGATCAAAGCTTAAGCTGACGACATCCTGTAATGATCCTCATCCAAGAAAGACTCCAGACAGAGAAAATAAGAAAAAAGAAGAAACCAGAGATAAGCTTATTAGCTTTAAGAATATTAACCTAAGAGCCACAGGTACACATGATGTAATCAGGAAAAATAGTCTGCATCATACAAGAAAAGTGATAGAAATTAAGGACTATCACTTCTAGGTGCTTATGAAGACAGACATCATTGCAGTAGCCACTTAGCTGACAAATGGGACTGAAGTCCCTTATCACACGTTCAGGAAGTGGGGCAGTGAAAGCATCATCAGTACAGACATCGCAGTGGTCAATTAAAAAGATTTTTTTTTTTTTTTTAAAAAAAAGCAAACTGTTAAAACACGAGGCTCCTGTTAAGTGAAATCCCCAAGACGACACGCTTAGCACAGCAGAACCATTCTGAATTCTCAGTGTGACCTGCCTTTCCCTGCCCTCTCTACAAGGCAAGCAAACCCTTCAACACTCTGCAGCCTATACTTTTAAATAAGAGTTTAGCAACTAGTAATTTTTACCAGGCAGTTGCCAAATAAAATTCTGTTCTCAGCAAGGGAAAAGCTCCTAATTACTCAGTGCCAGATCAGCCACTTAGACCCCTTGGGCTATTATCAAATACATATTTTTAATACTAATATTCTTTTAACATAACCTATTTCTTGCTAGCACTGACAACATCCATTTCTAAAAACTATCCAAGCCCCTTTTTGCAAATGGAAAAAGTAAAATGGGTTTTAAGCAGCTGTTTGTTCAGACCTTTTGCAATAGAAATAATCATCAGACTGTTTTAAGATCCAAAGCATCAACACCACATACAGCAGTGTGTCCCACCAACAAGTCAGGTTTACATTTGCTTTCTACAATTCAAAAAGACTTTAATGTCTCTTAATTCTCCAATATCTCCTGGGATCTTTTAGTAGCTAAATATAACAAAGCAATTAAAAGGTCTATTAAGCCCACAAAAGATTGGAAGAGTCAGAGAAAAAAAAATGAAAACAGAAATAAATACTCTTATTTACTTGTATTAGCTACTACATATGGAGCAAGGTCTCTTCTAATTACAGATCAGGCTAAACTCAACCAAAAATAGAAAGTGCAACTGTGTAGCTAATTCACACTCTTGGGAACAGCTTTTCCAGGTTATAGGATAATCTTGATGCATTTCAGCCCTAAATCTATGTGATTTCTATGAAATCACTTTTCATATTAAAGTTTTGCTCAAGACAGGCAATGTCCCACCCTCTCTTCCACCAGGCATTTTACTAAATGAATATTATGCTCTGGAATACAATTTAAAAACATTTATTTTAGGCAAAATTAAACAGACATTTGAGATTACATAGAAATACAATTTCCAATCAAATCACTTAACCTTTCCATCAAAAATGTACTGTTGTGTTGATTAAAGTACTCTGGATGGATCAATCAGTTACATAATATATAACCATGCCATTTGCAGTCAACTATCATAAAAATCAGTAAAGAAAAGGTATTCTTAAAATGTGCAAATATTATATTAGTATTGTTACCATTGATAATAAATGGCCACTAAATATACGCTCATTATGTAAAGCTTTTTAAAATACAATAAAAATACAAATTCTATTTGTTAAAAAAAGGCCATTGCTATGGCTACTAAACATCCTCATTATACAAATTCCAAAATACTATATGACAAACAAAATTATAAAGACTTTTCTTTATGAAACATATACTATTCTATTAGTTAGTGATTTTATATATTTATATATATATAATACTCTATATGAATGCTGAACAAAGGATAAAAGAGTGGAAGACTACCATAACGTAGAAGATGAAGGCCCATATTCAGCACAGTACTCGAACATATGTAGAACTTTAAGCGAAGGAGTAATCCTGTTCATGTCACAGGACTTCAAGGAAGGCTGTATGCAGAAGTGATTTGTTGAACAAGGCATAAAGATATATGTGCAACAACAAATTTACAAAATACATTGTCTTGTGTAAACTGTAGCCTCTAAGATTAGAAGTGTCATCAAAAAACCCTTCCCTCAAAAGGAAACAAAATATCGAACAAAAAAAAAGATTTTTTTTTTCCAGGTCTAAAAACAGAGTTTCCAAAGGACTGAATTTAATTTAGAGATTGGACATTAAAATGCTAATGATAATACTTCTCTGGGGTAAAATGTCATTTTATTGCTTATGATAGATTAGTGAAGAGTATGCATAGACAAGTTAGCATTAACCTTACAAACAGCTGAAAATTTTGGTGTGCAGTTATTTCTGTAACATGAGTTATAGTGGGTATCAAGAACTATGTTACACTGAATTCTTGCAGCAATCTTCAAAATTATAAAACATTTAACATTAAAGCAGGCAGTGAAAAAACTAATGGACCTCGACTGTAGACACTCTGGTATTGCCAGTAACTTGAGTGATGCCAGTAAACACGGAGTGTCTGCTTATGCATAAAATTATATAAATATCACGGAAGGATCCAAATGTTATTTTTAAGTCATGATTACCATGTAGTGAATTACAAATTAAACACTTTATGACTTAAGAAAAAATAAAATAAAACCATCGGCAATGACTGTCCGCTCTGCGGTTTAACAGTCCTTCCATGCTCTTTAAATGTCAATAACAGATTAACAATTTGTTTGTTTCTAAAATGTGAACTACAGTTCTAAAAATCTTCTGGATCTAATGAATAACAACATATATGCTGCATAGTAACCATATAATGATATGTATTAATTACATGGAGTACAGATTAATGTTTTAAGCATAGATTAGCACTTTTTCTTTCCAATTCTATTTTTTTTAAAACCAGATATTAATGATATTACTGGTTGGACATTAAATAATGGCTTAAGAGCTTCATTTCAAAATTCCACCATGTGAAATATTAAGCAAAAATCATGCTTGCTTGTCTGCTAACAGAGAGAGGTATGCATGAGCTTTCTGGAAAACTTTGCCAGGACAAAGAAAGAAACACAACACTAATTTAATTCATATTTCATAAACAAGTACAACTTTTTACATTTGTACAGGGAAATACTGGAAGTAAATTGAAATTTTACAGAAGCAAACCTTACAGAAATTAGCATGTTGAAAAATATTTTTTGGCACATGGATAATATTGGTGAATGTGTGTTTGGAATTGAAAAACACCAAGAAAGAATTTCATATTTAGTTTCTTGCCATCAGCACCTGCTGTCTAGTGGGTCAAGACAAAACACTGTGCCTTCAAGAGTTAGTCCCATTTTGAACCCCTCCTGCAATGAAACAAGACATAGTTAGTAAAGAGGAAAGCAATTTCTAGGGAATTATGCTCACTTCTAAATGTGAGCTCATCTTTAGGCAGGCAAGCAGCATTCTGAGACCTTTCATAATGATACTTCAGAGTGAATCACAGATTTTTATACTATATTGTCAGATATTCAATATATGTCCCAGTCATTAACCTATAAAAGGCTATATCCTTAGTTCAACAAAAGAAACACGTATATAAGTGAAGAAAATATTAAAGAAAATATTAGATATTCATATACCTAAACAAGCCTGATTGCACCACATTGTTCCTGTGTAAAACTCAACAGGACTGAAAAATCATAGGCAAGAAAACTCAGTGCTATGTGTGCAAGCTGCTTATCATGTTAACGCTTGAAAGACCCAGCAAAACCCGGGAGGTTTGTTCTGAGCTCTTCACTGTGCTGGTGTAGCAGGTGCACATCCTACAGCCTCTGTCACCTCAGCTTGGCTAAAAGTAAAGTCCCACCTGCTCTACCGCAAATGCACAAAATACAAACTTTGAGAATATGTAACTCCACGCAATAAAATGGTCATTTAAAAATACAAAGAAATTATTAAAAAGGTCAAACCAAAACTCTTCTATTTGCTCACTTTAGTTTCCTTAGAAACATTTTAATTTTTCTACTAAGAGAGAGACTGCCAACTGAGAGAGACTGTTGAAAATAACTTTATACTATAAGTAGCTCTGCTTTAAAAATATGCTTTGCACCAGTTCTAAAATAAAATCTTTGTTTTTAATACAGGGAAGGGGTTCTTGTTTTCATTTGTCTTTTTTTTTTTTTTTTTTTTTAAGTAGCTGAATAATTATAGCTTAATCTTCAAAATAAAAGTCACCTTTGAGTCAAGAAATACTCAATCTCTTAAGTGGAAGTACTGCAAAACTATACGCAAATGGAATCAAGGGCTCTGCATAGCAATGCCGTGAGAACATTGACTTCGGGGGCACCTGTAGCTAAGTACCCCATTATTACATAGTTTGCCTAGAGAACCTTGCTCATGTGTTTTGATAATCAAAAAATCGTGCTTTTATGTACACATCTGGTAAAACAAAATAAATTCTCTTGTAAAGTCATTTCAATTGGGATTAAACTCAAGTCTTTTCTCATTAATCCTAGGAGCACCTCAAAAGCAGACGACAGCTTTAAAGGATAAATCACAAATCAAAAGTAGTTTCATTTTGAACAAATTTAAGTCACAGGCTAGAATTTTAAAAGTGTATGAATGTTTAATAATACCACCAGATATGACCATCAGGAGAATAATTCTCGGAAATAAAATAAACCTCCTGGAGACGATTACCAAATGGCCCAAGATTTTCCAGAGTCTGAATTTTCCTAAAAGCAAATTGACCCTAGCAGATGATGAGCCAGGCGCCGCTGAACTGTAAACCTTACCTACATACACCGGCAACCACTTTGTCTTACGGAGGTGACATGGCGTTGCCAAAGCTCACTGGCACATTCAATGTTTTGTTCTGTATTTCACAAGCAGCTAAGAACAAATTCAGAAAATCTTAAGGCCAGCGAATGCCCGGACAAAATGATTGCAATCAAATTCCTGCAGATAAAAAAAGCCCAGACTTCAGATCTCCACAGCAATCCTACAAGGTTTGGGAATTGACTTCTTAAATAATTTTGGAATCTGCAAAATTATACTTTGGCAGACACGTGATACCTAAAAAAGTCCAATCAGCTGCAGTCAACCAAGCTGTGGGAAGACGTGGTTTGCAAGGAAAGGATCTCTTAAATTGAAGCGTGGTGGGGTTGTGATTAATGTACAAAGGATCCTATGCTGTGGTCCTTAAGCAATGCAGAAAAATTACAGATTTATGCCTACTTTCAGAAACACCTTTCATATACCCAAACTACAGGCTTCTCTCAATTCTTGCGGTTCCTATTTTAAGGTGCTATATGATTATTATGACACTCATGATACAGCACATGCCTGTATTCAACTTTGCACTCCAAAACTCAGTATTCACAGCTGTAAAAACAACAATGTCAGTTGGAAAAATCTGAGGAGGAGAACACATTCTCAAATATATTTTATTATTTTCTATTAAACTATATTAACAGGCAGAATACTTTTTCTTAAAGATGACATATATAGTCAGCTTTTTGGTTCTGGATAAATACCATATACATGTAAAATTCATTTTAATACATGGTATTTTACATATTTTGCCTTGTGAAATGCAGTATTTCACATTCCAGTAACATAATCCTTAGCATAACACATTCCCTGCTCATTAAAACAACATGCGTGCCACAGCCTCCCATACTTTAAAGGTTCAGGCTACAGCAACTCCTCGTTTAGCCAGAAAATAATTAAAATCTGCAGCAAAGCAGCATCCCTTGACGATGAACAAGAGTGGGAACAGGAATAACTCTGGAGTGCGCACGTACATTATGCCCTCCATAAAGGCAACAGGAAGCTACAGTTTTACTTCCAAGGTGATTTAACCCAAGCACGGATCACCTTAGTCACCCAATGACAGTACTGTGCAAGACACAGGGTTGGTCTCTACAAGGGAGAGCAAAGCTCCTTTTCACTAGAAAAAAATAACCCCAAACATCCACCCAAGAACCTTCACAATATCCAAGGCATGCGAGTTATTCCGCACTTAAAAAGGATGCACAACAAAATACAAACGCTTTGACTCTATCGCAAGGTAAATTTGCCAAAGTCAACCCTTGTGGCTCTCACTTTATCACTGCATAGTCTGACTGCGCTCAGTGCGCGTAAGGAGCCAAGAAACCAGTGATAAATTTATATGACTCTGGGAAGATCATCTAGAGGGCTGAGAAAAGCTTATTTCAAAGGGATGTGAGAGAAGTCTGCTGACTGCTTCAGGCCATGCAGGAAGAAAGTTTGCAGCTCCTGGAAGCTTTATGATATCAACCACCTGAACATTTTTATAAATTATAGCAGCTGTTGCCAGTATGATTCATGATGGAGGGAAACTTCCCCTTACTATGAGATTTCTGGGAAAATAGACACATTAATTTTAAAAATGTTTGGATAAAGTCAAAGTTGAGAGGATGAAAATATTTTTCAGCATTAGGGTGAGGGGAAACAGGAGACTTGATACTCAGAGAGGTCTGAGCTGTTAAGTTCAGATCTCAGCATATGTTTGAGTTAAGCTTTGAGCCCTCCAAAAAATTAACAGAGTTTTTGAGAAAGGGAGTAGAGAAAGTGTGTGAAATTTGTGAAGTCTGGATGCTCACTATAGTTTAAACACGAAAATATTCTGCCAGTGGTCAACAAACTTCACTGACTCTCACTAGGTTTGGAGTACTGGGCATAAATGAAAAGCATCTGCTACCTGAAGTGTCTTCTCCAGCACCTCTTCTCCTTTGCTCTGCTTTCCTACCCCATCTCACTCACACCTCTCCCAACTGACACATGCCTCGAGCCAGCCTTTTTTATTTCATGTTGGCATACGTTGCTGAGGCTGAGGTTACATAGGTCTACATTAAAACAGGGTAGACATTTGGAGGGAGCTGCTCCAGGCAGCCCGTCCCTGGCTGGCACCAGGCCGCTCGATGAGCACATGGCACGCGGCGAGGTGTCAGGTGCACTAATAAACAACTCGCCTCCATCCCCTTATTCAAATACCTATTTACTACAGCTCAGGCTCAACTTTTAATACACAGACTTCATACCTCTTACACTGAAATACAAAGTTATTTCAAACTATGGAAGATGATTAAGTTTTTCTTTCATGTTCCTTACTGTTATATTTCTCTTAGCACACAGCAGTTTTTGTGGCATTACATTTTCCAGTGTCCATTTCATCCTTCTCCTTATTGGCTGTATCTCACATTACAATAGCTATCCTCTGCTCATTCTAATCTTTTAAATTTTTGACAATATTTGTTTCTAATTAAAAACCAGATTTACAAACATGAACATACTAGCACAGAAATTCATGCATCCAAGGTTAATACTTCACTAATGAAAATGAAAAACAGACAGCAATAAAAACTAAGGTTTAATATTATGGGCTGACAAAACAGACCTATCAGAATTGGCTTTCCCTATCATTAAAAGTTGTAGGTCTTTAAAAAAATAAAGTACTTTTTTATAGAATTAAGCATGGTTCATAGAAGCATGAATAAAAAATCTTAGAAGATTCTACATAGATATATACACATGTATATTTACATACATATATCATACATATATACACACAGACATGAACACACTCACATTTTAATTGTAAATACTTTAAATACCATTATTAAAATATGATATACCAACCATCGCTGACGCTAGGCACCCAAGAAAGCATAAGAAGATAAAAGACATATTAGTAAACGCATCTTTCAATTTGTATTATACAGCACAAATTCATGCTAACATCACCTATAGAAAGAACTTACACATTCCTGGCACCTAAATCTACCAATGGATGTCATAATTAATTGTATGCAGCTTTTGCTTTGGTCAAAGTCAAAGCATTTTTTTTTCTCACATCTGATCAGCTTTAACCTTAATTTCAACTGGATGACACCAAAGCAAGTCTTGTACTTACTCAAAGACCCACTAATATTAATTTTCAGTGAAGGTGTCAGGTAGGTTGTGTCAGATAGGTATGCTAGCACACTAGAAAACACATAGGAAAGTTGGAAAATCAAAACTCCAATGTGCTGGGGGGGAGTACTTGACCAAGAAAATGAAATTCCAGGGATGATTAATTAAAAAATATACTTAGGAAGAAAACCAGATATTAAATATTAATTCAACCAAGATAAGGTCAGTATCTACTCAGATGCCATACAATACTTCAGGATTAACGTTTCCTCACAAAAAAATCAGTTGAGAAAGATTCTCGTTAGTTTAAATATCGCAGTACCCTAGTCTAAGCAGGCTATTTTTACAGGCAATGAATTGCCATAGCCAGTGCTCCTGCTTTACCTGTGCCAGCACTACAGAAACCGACTCCTGCCACCAAGGGAAGCAGCATGGTATAGGAGTGGGGATGGGGAGGGTGACAAGTTCAGCATATTAGAGCCTCAGCTCTCTATTTCAGATCAATCCTCTAGGCAGGGGCAGCAGCCTCTGTTTTTATTGCGCTACGGAGAACCTTTGATTGGTTTGGGTGTCTGTAGCGACACCATGGGCTAACATTTCTAAGGATCCCCAGGCAGACAAATTCCAATTCCTACTCAAAGTCAAAAATACTTCTTACTCTATGTGCCGTCTCAAATGTATTTTTAACCTACTATAAACATATATTTCATGAATATTAATGTGGCAATGAAAAACTATATAATTGATAACTCAGTAGTTACCTGCATCTCATCTAGTTTGGACTGAATGTCTGGAGGGAAATCTCCTGCTCCACAGCTAAAAGGGTCAAAAGGTTCTGCTCCAAAAAGGTCTCTCTCTGGAATAACAAAACAATGAGTCACTGAAAGAAAAGATGCAGTCTGTGACAACAGCTTTCTGAAAGGAGACAGCTACTTGAAAAAGCTGAATAATAGTACACCTAATCATGCAGTAGGCTAACAACTAAAACCAAAACTAAACAAAAACAAACAACTTAAATTTGAAACAGGCCTAGATTAGCATTCCAAATGTTAATACTAAAATATATTTCCAAGAACACCATCAGCTTCTGTTTAAACCTTTATTTAGTTTTCATTAATGCTTTTACCTTTCACAGGAATTCTGGGAAGTAGTTCCAATTTAAGTACAAGATCTCCTAGTGAGTGAAGTGGGTTCTAGAACCAGCACATATGGGATTTTCAGAAATAAAGAGGGAACAAACATATATGAACTTGGAAATTTAAGATTCCATCAGAAACATCGCTGCAAGCAAACTAGCCCTGAGGCCCCCCATCTATTACTTATCGCCAGGCTAAGGACTTCTTTGCAAAGACAAACTACCTTCACTCATAGGGCATAAGCCTTCATTGGACAGTTCCTCAAAGCACAGCATGTGGGAACTAAAACAACCTCTAGGGTTTTAAAATCTCTGAGGGATTTATCAATTAAGAACGAAAAAGCAGACCACCATTAAAAGCCACTTACCCCAGAAATCCACTAAACTTAGATCCTTTAATAGAATGACTGAAAATTTCTCTTTGTCAACGCCATATAATTTACCACTTTCACTTTTTCTAAATTCTATGATTTTCTTAATTTGATGGGAAAAACGGACTTGAGCTTCTTTTGGTTTTATCTAGACAGAAATTGCCCGTTCCAAGAACCGTTTTTTCTTAGCAGAACACCATAACTCCTGTTATACTTTATCTGATAGCCCCAACTTCTTTTTTTTAACTCACTTTACAACTGGAAAGTTTTTTTCCTTACATATAAGGGTGCTATCTAGAAACAGTTCTAGTTCACATTGACTTTGTCAGTTCTAGTTCACATTGGCTTTATCTAAAGTAGAACCAGTCAAAAATCCTTGTGCTATCAAATTTAACCACATTGACAGTACCAGTAGCAGAGTAAAGTTAATACGGCCTTTTTTTTTTTTTTTTTTTTTTTTTTTTTTAAATCATCTGCACGCTGGCCCAGTAAGATACCTGATAAATGCACTATTTTACAATTGTATTAGCTTAAAACTATATTGGGTTAAAACCATAAAAGTAAAAAGATCTATATTAATATCTTTGGAACTACCATCTGTTTTTGTGTTTTAGCCCAAAACGTTATCCATAACACCATAAGATCGAAGTTGACAATAGACTATGCAGCACTAAATAGAACCCTGCAACTATTTTCTAAATTAAGTGAATTCATATCGTAGTGTTACCATTTGTTGTTAATGCTAAGGAATGTGTATATAGCCAAATCACAGTGTATTTATTTTAACATCCCTGAGTTTTAGCCCTGCAGTAGTCAAATCTCTTCTATGTTTTATCATCCACGACATTCTTCATAGGCTTTGATCTAATCAATTAGTGTTATCAAACTGCATTGCCCAGTATTATAGTTTTAACAGTGAGCAGCTATTTCTAGTCTCAAAATAAAGTACATAAACAGGCAGGAGTTTTATTGATTATATTCCTCAAAACTCACCATACAGCTACAAAGTGTCACAGTGGAACAGGCAATGGCTCAGACCTGAGAGGCTTATTCTATTGCCCATCTGAATTAATAAAAGTGTAATATTTACTGGCAGAGGCAGGCCACCTCCATGCAAAAGAGACTCCGACTAGGAGAAGCTAATGTAAAAATTAGGCTCTACTTGGTGTCTTGCTTCTTGTCCTGCTCCAGGATGACCTTCCATGCTCTGATGCTCCCTACCTAGCAACCTTTGGATCTATTGAAGGTTAGTCTCGCCTGTACTGGGGAGAAGGTCATGCCTTATATCCTCATACAGTTTGTCATAATATAGGAACATTTTTTCTTTCTTTCCATGGTTTCCTCTTTACTCTAAAAAGGAGCTGTCAATTTTCTGTGTGATCAGACATTAAAAGGAGACAGTTTCAACACTTAGCAAACACACAAGGAATGTATTTATGAAAAAAAAAGAAGAAAAAAACAGTAAAAAACCCAGCTCTCGTGTTTCTTCTCACTAAAATATGACTTAGCACTATCTCCAAAACAAATATTTGGCACATATTTTGACTAGTTTCTTAGTTATGCCTAATTATTGGATTTTCACTAATGAGAGCAATTCTAAGCTCAGTAGCAGAACAGCAGAAGGTGGAGCTCTCTTCACCTGCTTTCAGGTGGACAGTTACTTACATTACCTTGTTATTCAAGGCATACTTTGAAAGTAGTGACTGAGTGTAAAAAGCTCAGTAGACAATCACATTCCAAACTGATAGCTATTTCCTAGCTGGGTTTCTACAAAATATTATTTTGGGAACTTCCTCTATAACAACTTCTTAACCATTTCAGTGCACAGGCTGAAAAAGCTAAGAGATACATGAGAGATTGCACCGCTACAGTCTCAGACTGACAAAGTTCCATGACACATTTTCAATAGCATCAATGGTGCTTCTTGTTTAAACAGAGGCTGATGAATATGTTCAAATTTGATAAATACTGCAGTTCAGTTCTAAAAAGCCATCACTTTTGCAAGTGATTCCAAAGGTTCATCTGCTAGTGCTACCACACAGTACAGAGGGTGCCTCCTTTAACAGAGAAAGCATAAGTCAGTATCTCTTGATTTCATGCTAGATAATTTGTATGGAGCTATGTTAAAAATAACAAAACTATCTACAGATAGGCAGGCAGGTTCTTCTCCAATATACAGCCACCAGGAAACCTTTGAAGTTGATCTTTTCAAACAACATATATGACTTCCTTTTCCCCACTCAGGCCAATTTGATTCGTTCCTGGATGCGAATAAATTCACAACTTGGAAAATGTGACCAAAAAAGGCTAAACCATGACTTGCTAATATTTCATAACCATAACCCAAACCACACAAAAAATAAACAGAGGATAAATTATTGCTCCTGTGACCTAGCTGACATTCAGGATAGAGTGACAGAGAAGAAAAAAATATACTGGAGAGTAGCAGTCTGTCTCCTTTGTAATAAACTCAAAGCTGGAAGGAATCAAGTAAGACTCCACAAGCATTTGACTTTTCTGCTTCACTTTGCACCCCAATCTTTATAGTAGCTACCATGCAGATATACATTGATGTTGATATGCAATTTCTGCAAACATCTTGGAGCAGCTCTGCTGTCAAATAAAAATTAATTACAGTGAGTATGAGCACCCCCAAAAATATTTGGAATAAACTGGGAAAACATGAATATCTAACATAGCAAGTTAAGGAATGGGAAGAAGATGATTCTGTAAATTTTTCAGAAGTGATGAAAAACCTTCCTTCAAGTGGCAAGTATAGTGGCCAAGAAAGAGAAAAACATGAAAGAGAGCCTCGGAAAAGGGGATACTTCAAATTCTGGCTCCCCTTGGTTGCCATCTACTTGACATATATTGGAGAAAGAAATGCCAGCTTGTCCATACAGCTACAATGCCAAACAGAGAATATATTCTTGTACACTATTTGAATAGTGTAGCACTGCACAGCTTGAATGAAATATTTATGGAATCTGAAATTACTCATCCAAGACTGTAGGTACCTGTCTGATTACATAATATTCATCTTGTATTAAACTATTTTTGAATATGCCAAAGGGTGTTAATAGTTGATGAATTAACAATTATCCACATATGCTTAGAGTACCATAACATAGGCTGAAAGAGCAGCAATAAGAAGCATGGCATTGACTGCCTCCACTCTGAAATACATCATTTTAATGTAATGCAAAAGAAAGAAGTGCAGAACTATAACACTTCTTAATCAGCCTATATCACTGAATAAACATGTAATTTATAGCATTATCTATAATATAAACCTCATTGATTGAACAGGTATAAAATCTATAAAGATGGGACTTATGTCCAGCGTTGAGTCCATAAGAATTTAAGCACTTATTTCAATGGAAGCAAAGGCAAAACAATACCTAGTATAATTGAAAGAAAATAAAATTGTCCTGTAATTCCACAACTTGCAGCACTGCTTGTATTTGCTCCCATCTCCATCCCCAATTCAGAAGTTTCCACAGACTCTGAAAAGTTTTCTAGTGAAGGTGAAAGCCTTTTCTTAACCACCCCAAATGCAGCTCGCCATTCCTAAACATTTGCTAGAAAGCTTTTAGAGATGGTCCACAAGCTGCAGAGGTGCATCAACTGTGGCTGAAAAACAAAGCTGTAGATGACAGGAAAAATAATATTAAAGTCATTATGCCAACACACTGCTGCTTCAGGGATTTCTTCAGCTCTCTTGGGAATCATCTTCACCATACTTACTCCATCTACTGATTCTTGCAGAAATGTAGATGTTAGAAGTGTGGCTTTATATGGAAAGAGCTATTTTAGTGTCAAATTACTTCCTGAATTCACTACAAAAAAAATTGTAAAAATAAAAGTCAATTTATAATCCACAAACCTCCTTAAACTGTTAATATTTTAGCAGTATATAAATTCGTTTATAATGACACTTGGCAGCAACAAGTCTTTGGGGAAGATGGTATAAAATGAAGTGGCATTATCAAATGTGATTTACACAAAAGCTTGTCATACAAAGTGTACGCAATCTTTTCAGACCTTTATTAAAAATATAAAGTCAGCAAAAATTAGGTCAGTTGTTATAAAACTTACTGATCTCTGCAGATCTACTGGGTACTGGAGGAGGCTGTGTGCCATTGCGAGTAGGTGTTGATGACTGAGGGGATATGGGAGAAAAGGGAACCATATCAAAGATGTCAGTGGAGGGTGATTTGGGTGTCACACTGCCTGCCTACAATAAGGACAATAAGTATTAGGGCAGTAGTTCACATTAAAGAAAAAACCACAATACTGAATTCTTCTGCATGCAGATAATAACAACAGTTTCAAAAAAGTTAAAAGTTGAAAAAACAAAAAACAACAACAGCATGCAAAACCCAGCTCCTAACAACAAGCACATGGCATTTGCAGTCCAGAGCCTACGAAACATGCTAAAGCTCTCCAACCATTTTAAGCTTTTCATTTTTGGTACATCTAATACAGCCAGAAATATATCACAATTAAACCTGAAAATCCTGGACACGAACAGTTCTATACTCCACCAAGAAGTGCAAATAGAGATATTGTCCACAAGACCCATTTAAGATAATAAGATAATAGCAATATGCTTATATATCCCTGAACGCACAGAACCAGTTGCTGAACGTAAAAGGTACAACACCAGTATTCCTTCTTTACTAATTCTTCATGTGATTACTTGACAATGTAAAAAAAGCCACTGTGATCAAAGGTTCAAGTGTATTTTTACTGAATAGCAATCTAGAAATGCAATATGCTTAATGCAAAAATGAAAATAAAGTTTTCTCAGTTTGAATATAAAGCAGAACAGATTGTGTTAGTAAAGCCTGGGATGTTTTGGCAGGCTTCAAAAAATGCTAGATAAACAACCCCTGCTCTCACCCCCTTCCAACTCAACAATTACTGTGGTTCTACAGCCATATTTATTTTTAATGACTCATTCCTGCCATCAGTCCATTACTCCAGGACATAAACAAGGCAGTTAAGTCAAAACAAACTAAATGCTAAAAAACACTTGAAGAAATAGACTAAAATTTACACTGACAAACTCAAGGTAAAATATATGTGCAAAACTAGTTTGCATGTTAATGTTATGACTTGGAAAAATACACAAATATTACATGCTGACTAACAGACGATAGCGCCAGGCACAGGGGCAATCTGCTACTTTTAAAACAGATCCAGTTTAACCACGGTCCTTGCACAAAAATCTTTAGCGCAAGTTAAACTGGTCACGTTCTTTTACTCACAATATCTCTATATCACAGCCTGGCAAACTGCTAACTTTTATTACTGCTGGTCCATGAGAGTTTCATTAAGAGGTTCATCTAAAACTTATTTTGTAATATTACTTCCTTTAGAGTCTGTGCTTCAGCTGCTGAAGCAACCCTATCACAGCAAACATGTCACAAATTTCTAAGCCAAGTCTCTAGGTAGCCTTGAACTACATCTCTCTGGATTTTGCAGTGACTTCACAGAAAGAAAGGATAAGGTGCATGGTCTTCCACTGAATACAACACTTAAGGAAAACTAGACAAGGAAATCTTATATTACTTCATTATTATTATTACTTAGAAAATTTTAATTCATATTTGAAATGTAGAGATCTAGAACTGTTAATTACCACAAAGAATTTGGGATATTTCTATCTAGGAACAATGAAGTACCAAGCACAAGCTACCTACATTTCATTTTGTTTTTCCACTTTGATCTTTTTAAAAGGCATTTCTCACAGCCATGTTATTGCCTCCAAGATCAGGGCTAAAATAGTTTTCATTTATTTATTTATTTTTATAAGACTTCTAAGTAAGACTAATCTTACTTAATTCAACAGGAGTTGGCATAACAATTTCAAGCATTGCCTGTTGCAAGAAGATTTGAGTGAATACTAAATAGACACCATAGGCTTTTAGCATGATGCTCATAGGACTTGCATTGACCTCAGACTCAGCACTGCTCAAGAGGGAAGAGATGGCAGAAGGTCAACTGCCCCCACTCAGAGCAGGTCAATGTACATACTGTGACCCAAAGCAAACCCCTAGGGAACTCCATACCCTTCAGAGAGGAAAAACAGAGAAAATGGGTTTTGTCTGCATCTGGAACATGGGACAGGGTTCAATGAGAGAAGGTACACGCTGTGCATTGCCTACACTTCCTATTGACAGGGATGGAAAATCCTAGAATGACTTGGGGAGAGTAAATGCCACTAGAGCTTCCTGCATTTATTAGTGTGTTTATGGCTTCATAGAAGCTAGATATATAAATAAACAGTATTTATGTTTAGTCTTAAATGAGTCTTTTTGGCAAAACAAACTTTTCACTGACATTTTCTGTTTACATGTCATTCTGATGAAGTTGCTGAACATTTTAATGCTACAGATACAACTAGTTTCAGTAGAAACATATTTTAGTTATTCTAAGAATGATATATTTCTAAATCTATATAAGCACAAGAAGCTTTTCTTAGTGAACACATGCAGAAAGTCATGATATTTGCCAAACACAGCCAAATTTTACTTGCAATTAGAAGAATAGTTGGGAGTACTAGCATATTACTGTGAAAAGTTGGCAATATGCCTATTTCACATATATGGATAATTTTCAGTCTTCAGTTTGCACAGGTATAAGGTATATTAAAGGATATTTAGTGGCTGACTTTTTCTACAACTCAAAAAGACATTCAAATCAGACCTTTAAATTGTTCACTTTGAGAAACTATTCTTAGTATAATGATTTTAACAAAAGATTGATATAAAATATAGAAGGATTCACTGATAGACTAGTTTTAAAATAAGAATTTTAAATAAGTTGGAAAAGTAAAAACTTTTAGTTTTGGAGTGGGGTCTGGGAGAAGCTAGGCAGAAATAAATCCTCACAAATTCTGTACTTGCATGAGGAGACAATCTAAGATACATTTCATCTGTCCTCTAATCGCTGTCCAAAATGCACAATTTTAATACATGTTAAGAAAGAACAGAGAACATCTGAAAGCCTAAAAAAATAAAAAAGCTTTTGCATAGCAGGATTACGCGAGGTCTTGGATAGCTGCATTCATTGGCTGGCTTTTGAAGACCACTTTTTGAAGGTGGTGGTATTAACAATCCAGGTGGCAATCGGGAGTCAGGAGAACTCCTAGGAGTAAGGGTAATGGAAGACATATCTAAACAAGGATGTGAATCCTCTTTGTTACACCAGAAAAAAGCAGAGGAGGGTCTTTGAAACATATGTTCATCATTATCACACTTTATGTGCAGCAGCTGAAAAGGAATTACAGAAAGAAAAAACATTCTGAGGAACGGAACACAGTAACATCAGAGAAAGAAGAAATACATTTCATGCTTCCAAAAAAGCTCATTTGCAATCTGCTTTTTAGCGCTATAGTGACAAGACAGAGAACTCTCTGATATTTTTAAAATAAAATCTAAACCTGTACCACAATAAAAGGTAGCCCAGCACTGGAGTGAAGATTTGCTCCTAGGTTGCATCAAAGGAAAATGAAGGCATTTTCCCAAAGGTGTATGTGGTAGATGCGTTCACGAATATCTGTATCTACCATAATATCAGCACTATCTCATACTAGCACATGGAAATCACAGTTAAGCACATATCCAGGAAAGTGAGTTACTCTGGTGGTTACAGCATAGCCTAAATATTATTTTCATTGTGATGTCTTTACCAGGAAACACCTACCATTAATATCCCACCAGCTTTGAAAGAAAATTTAACTTAAATTTTCTCCCCCCTCCCCGCCAAAAAAGTTCACTGTTTACAAATTGTAAAACACCAATTACTATATTTTAGTAATTGCTAGATTTAATTTTCCCATCCAAGGATTTTGAAAACCTAAGCATGCAATGGCCTTCTGCAATCCTTTCTATGTGCATGAATAATTAATTTGAGAGAATGATCTGAATAGTACAAAGGAGAGATTCTTTGTTGCAACTACAAAGGAAAGCTCACACCTCTACTACTGCCCAGGATCCAGGACAGAATAAAACTTTTTTGCTGCTTGGGAAATATAAATGTTGATGACTATAAGATTCTTTGGATCTCTAGGGCTCTTTACCAGCCAATCACAGAAGAGCTTCAAGAGGCAAACAAGTAATATCCACACTACAGTGCCTATTGGCAGATGTTAAGAGCATTCATCTAAGTTGTCGACTTAAAAAAAATAAGCAAATGTCTTAAAGGTCCTCGTCTAAATCAGACAGACAAGCAGCTGAACCTAGCTTGTCCCACATTAATGTGAAGTACATGACCATATATTCCATAAGGCTCTAGAGAAGGACAGATTCATGTTTGAATCTTAACGAAAGGACTGATGCCTTGTGCAGACGGCTGTCCTGGGCCAGGGCAAGAGATTACACACCCAAGATGAAGGAACTGACCTGTCCTGTAGATGCCTTGCCTAAAAATCACCTTGGCTTGTTTGAAGAGAGTTTTCTTTCCTCATATGGTGTTACATAAGTGAGAGGACACCATTATTTCATTACAAGCCTGGCATAAGATCAGGATTTGATCTATGATTTAAACCATTTTTTCCTAGTTATGTAGAAAGACAAACACTTTGTTTTTAAGTTAAATCAGTTCTTTAGAGATAAATCAGGTCAAGGATATAAGTGTGCAAATTTAACAACAGTCCCATATTTATGGGAACACTAACAACAAATCACAAAACTCAGTGTTCAACATCAGCAATTGATAGGAAAAGTAATGTTTTTATTGCTATTTCAAATAGTTCTATTACTAATCTGGAATTGCAAAATTTAAAATTTGTTACAGCAATCCATAAAAATGGAGAGAAAACTTGCTTCATTTTGAATAAAGTTTCAAGTGTCAGTATGCCACAACTACAGACGACTTGTACAATGCATTGCTCTCCCAACAACAGGGCAAACTATGTAGCACTTCATATGACCACCGTGGAAATACATGTAGTTTCACTAATATATTTAAATTTTCAGTGCTCTATGGAATCACACCACCTCATTGTGTGAATGCTGCTCTGCCAGCATTTCCTCAGCATTTCTCCCGTGTCCTTCTAGGAGCCCACTGATGTGATAGATCCAGAAGGAAAGCACATGCAGCAATGGAAAACAACAAATGGAAGGCTACAGCCATAGGTGGTACAGGGCTTTAAAAAGCAAAAAATAACAAATTCAGAAAATTCAAAAGGAGAATAAACAGCCTCTTTCTCTAAAGAATGCAGCCTTC